TATATATATATATATATATATATATATATATATATATATATATATATATACTACCTCGGATATAATTTGTTTTCAGCTTAACTCCACGGTAGTTTGTTTTATTAAATTATTCATATCTGATATTATGCAATAGGAGGATTAAAATCCTGGAAAGAATTCCCTGCCTTATTTTTTTGTCTTAATACTTTCCCTCCATGCTGGTGTCCCACCTATCCTTTGAACTCGGTCTTAAAACACCTTTTTCCCTTTTAACTCTCGTGACCTTGAGTTGAAATTAAATAAGGGTGATTACTGTGCTCCAGAAGAAAAAAAATAAAATGTGTCTGCAACACAGAAGGCGACTGTCAGCACATGAACAAATATTAATGTCAATCTGCAGCTTAATTCAATTTAAACAAACTATAATGGTTACTTAGACTCAAATTGAGATTATTAAAGAAACAAAAATATTATAAAGTATGTAACAAAAAAAAGCAGTTAAAGACGTTGGATTGTGGGTAATATATTATCTCAAATATTGTGATATATTACAAACGTTTAAGGTGTCATAAAGGATCACTAGGCCTATACCTGAGGTTCTAGAGCTTTATCCGTCTGCTGCAGGTGTAACTGACACCTCAGGTTGCTCTCCGTGTTAAATACATGACTAATTACAGACCTACTTATGAAAATTGAACGACAGTGTTATGCTAATATACGCCTTCCTCCTGATGGCACATTAGGAGCTTTAATCAAAAAAATGCTTTAATCAGACTGGCCAGCAGACAAAGCAGCTGTGACTGGGAGGAAAGTGTTGTTTAACTCCATTATAGATGCCACCTTTAATGCTTGTATTGCTATCCTGAAATAAGCGCGCTTTTTGTCAAAAAATAATCCTATCTTTATATGTAAAGTAAAAAGAAAAAAAAAAGATCTAAGGCTTTGTAGGTTTTTTTTTTTCTTGACTTTATCAGGTTCTTCGGACCCCAACCCCAGCCTCACCAATGGGCTTCTCTGTCGCAAAGAGTGGACCAATCAGCGACTGCCTTTGATGAATATTCATGAGTTCCAGATTCAAACCTTTGAGCGAGTTTGTCTCGGTCCACAGCATCACTCCCAGGACTTTTTCACAGGCGCAAACTGAATTTTCTTATGAATGGAAGGAGAAAAAATCAGGCCGGCTTAAATTGGGACCCATCCTTTAGCTGAGATCACAAAAGGAGGAAAACAACAAAAGCGGAGCGGAGACAGGAGGGAACCGCCAGAAGAGATGACAATGACCACGATTCCAGAAGGTCTTAATAGCCCTGCCTCAGGAAAAGCCGTTTTCATGGAGTTTGGACCCCCGAGTCAACAAATGTCTCCTTCCTCCATGTCTCACGGACACTATCCCATGCACTGTTTACATTCTACAGGTCACACGCAGCACGACAGCTACAGCCCAGCATCTTCGTTCCCCAGATCTTTGGGTTATCCGTACGTAAACTCCGTCGGTAGCCATCCAACCAGTCCATACCTGAGTACAGTACAGACCTACCAGAACAGCTCTGGGCTCACACAGACACGGCTGGAGGATCCAGGTAAGCGCGCAGCGGCATCTTTGCTCATTTGTCCTTGCCTTTCCCCGCATGTTGAATTATTGCGCACCGCCTGCGCCTAACAGATCTCTACCCCAGATGTACAATTGGACTCAGCAATTATTTATTGCGTAACGCTATAAACAATGTATGCAATTAGGGGTAATTATACCTAAAGTACAGCCTGTAAAACTTGTGCTTCAAGTGTTCGCTGTCGCATAGCGGTGCTGGTCGCAGTTGCTTCATCATCTTTTCTCACATCTCCTTTGTCTCCATCAGCAGCACCAGAAGCTGAGAAGAACACAGTGGTAGAAGGCGGGGAGGTGCGATTTAACGGCAAGGGGAAAAAGATTAGAAAACCAAGGACTATATACTCCAGTTTACAGCTCCAAGCGCTCAACAGGAGATTCCAGCAAACGCAATACTTGGCGTTACCGGAGAGGGCTGAGCTGGCTGCGTCGTTGGGTCTGACTCAGACACAGGCAAGTTTAATCAAATATCTCCCACTGCTACTGCAATTTATAATTGTATTACTGCTATTCATGCATGAGATACGTGCGTAAACTGTGCGTAATCTGTGCGTAAAAGCCCATTTTTTCTCTTTCATATCTTAATTTTTCATTTTTTTGTTCCTCCAGGTAAAAATTTGGTTCCAGAATAAACGATCCAAATTTAAGAAACTAATGAAGCAAGGCGGCAACACAATCGACACAAACGTTTTAGCAACCGGCCGTGGACTTTCAACCGGCTCGCCTACGGTTGCTCAGGTTTGGACATCCCCGACCACCGTGAAGACCTCGGTTGGCACAACCGGCTCTTACATCCCCAGCTACACCTCGTGGTACCCGACCACGCACCAAGAGTCTATGCAACAGTCGCAGCTCATGTGAGCAGAGACTCAGGATGTTGAGGGAGCCGCAGCGGCACGAGCGCGGCCTCGGCATTGACGATGCTCCACTAGAAAAGCTGCCGCATCCCGCGCGCTGAGGCCTCCTCTTCCCGGCGAGCAGACAGGAGGGAGGGAGAAGCAGGAAAAAATGGAGGGGAAGCTGAGAGGACGAAAATGCGCACAGTGAACCCACGCAGGGCAGCGAGTCACTGGCAGCGGGAATCAAAACGAAAAAAAAGCATATTTGGGCTGCTGTTGTTTACTTTCATTTTTTTTTAACTCAAATCGGTGTAAGGATTTTTATTGTTGTTTTTTTCCTTTATTTTACTGCAGATGATTACCTAAAACCAAGCATTGATTCCTAAATGCCAATCAGGTCTTTACCCAAAATAACAGATTCCAGCAGTCAGGCCGCCATGCTTACAGCATAATTCAACCACAGTAAATATTCACCTCGCTGTGTTGTTTCTATGTGTTTGTTATTTAAGTTAAATTATTCCGACTCGTCTGTGTTCATTCTGTATGCGTGTTTTGAGATGACAACATTGTGTTGTTGTAATGCTGCACTAACGCAGGCAGAGCTTTTATTTTTGCCGTGCCCCCTATGTCATGTGAACAAATGTAAAAGGCCAGCCGATCCGCTGTTTCTGAGAGAAAAAAAAGAAATACCCCGAAGACGAGCAGCTATAAATTGTCACTGTATTTTGTATATAATTTTTCAGATTTCTTTCTCTTTTTTTGGTTTGTTTGTGATTTTACTTGATACGCTGTGAAACAGGGTTTTTAGGCTTTTTGTGTATATATTATTCGTCGACATGTGTTTTAGTCACCATAGAATATATTTAGTTTTGTATTGATCACTTTAATTTATTAATCTGTTTATGGAGTTTTTTTTGTACATAAAAGTGAGAAAAAAGTTTCAAAAGCAGTAAAATATGATTTAAATTATGCTTAAGCACGGTGTCTGATTCAACCCTCTCTTCCTGTCCACATCCTCCTCCTCCTCTCCTCTCTGCGCCGTGCAGCTTTAATGCGAGCTGACACAAAGCAGGATCATGTTGGCTGTTGTAGCAGACACCATGTGAGCTGCAGAAAAAGGCGCCCAGTTTAGATTAAGGCCATGTTTAACAATCGGCCCTACATGCCTTTGTGCAGCTCCTGCTCACTGAATGCAGATGTGATAAAACCTCTGGAGTGAACCACAGATGAGAAATCATGCTGGAAATTTTATGGAAAATATCAGCCTATTTATGACTATTAAAGAGCTACAATAATGTATAAATTTAACATCAGTGCTATTGATATATCTATTTTTTTTCATTTACATATATTATATATTGTCAAAACATAAAAAAAAAAAAGGCAAAATGTACAAATTGCCTTACTGGTTATTTGATAAAAAACACAATTTCCCTCATTGTGGGACAATAAATGGATTTTCTATTCTAAAAGAAAAAGAAAAACAACAGTGAAAATAAAAAATAAAAAATAGGATTTCTTTGTGAAAGAAGTGCATGCGTTATATAAAAATTTAAAATAGGCCTATGGCCCGATGTCTTCATTATTTTGTCACGTGATTAAACCAATATTCCTTGTCACTATTTCCATTTCACCACAAAAGAAAATCAAAAGCATAAAAAAAAATGTGAAGTTGTCGCAGAATGTTATTATATAGTCCTACAACTGAGGGAAGAACACTGAAAATAAAAATTACATGATGATGCTGGTCTTAAAAGAAATGCATTTAAGT